AAATATAAATGTAAGTGATCAAAGGAACATTTTAAACTTTAGAGAACAACAAAAAATGTACGTAAACGAATTAAAATTGGCAATAGTTATAATAAAAAAATAATAAAAAACAAATTAAACTGCGACAGCTTGAGTTGGAGCTAGAGCGTTTCGAATTTGAAAATAGTAAAAAGTCTTATAATGTTATTTTATTACGTAAATTGTTTATTGTTTAATTACAAAACTCGTTTTAATTAAATAGGGTTAATTTTATTCGCAATTTCGTATCCAATTATTTGTGCTTCACTTTTCAAATAAATTTCTCTTAGTGAAAATCTAACAACTTCACTATCTACATACTTCGCTATCGTTTTCTTCAACTTCTTCATAGGGCACTGTCACACGGTCAGTATTTATTGACGTGATCCACGTATCGCGAATTTTATTGACGGTGTAGCATGCAGTATTGATGGATTGTGAGCCATATCGCAAAATTTTTAAAAATTTTGAAATCTGGATCTCGGATCGCAATACGGTCAATAAATATTGAACGGGTAGCACTTTCAAAACGCGATCCATACATTTCGTCAGTACATCTTTTACTCTCATAACGCGAACATCGGCTCTGCCTTCGCTCTCGGGTCTTAAAATCTTTCAAAACAAATTTTAATTAACGTTGGAAATTTTAAAATAATTGTGGAATGCATTATCTGTAAATTATACGTACAAAATAAAAATATTTTCGTTCGTGCGCTATCCATCAATCCATCAATATGGATCGCGATCCAAATATCGTGATAATTACTGACCGTGTGCCAGAGCCCATAGTCAAATTCAGGACTGTAGTGGAGAAAAATGTTGTGCAGGCAACACATCTGTTAATTATTATCACAACCATGATAAAAATATAACAAGGTAAAACCATTGAGAGGCAGTCTGACGTTTGCCAACAATATAATTTTAAAATCAAAACTCAAACTCACACACACATTCTCATTTTCAATCTCAAACAACAACAATTGTGAACAATTTAATTTTTTTATTTTCAATTTTATTTGATTTTAAAATGTTGGCAAACGTCAGAAAAAAAGCATGGCCGACGAAATGAGAGGATAAATTTACCTTGTAATGTTTTTATCATGATCGCAAACTCTCATAGTTTGTACTGCAAGGTTACTAATCAACTCTGAAATCGACTTTTAAGAACTCCAATATTACGTGTGGCAGAATGCGTTTGGTTAAATGCGTGTTGTATAGACCGTGGCTATGGATTTATATACGGTGCAACAGAAAAGGTTCCAGAGCATACCAGGCATCGTAGTAACAACCACGAATGGCGATCACCATCTCGATACTTAATCCCCAGATAAACATCGTTACCTACATCACTGACTCCATGTATATAACATTGTGTCGGTAACGTCGGTAATGGTACGGTACTCCTTCCCCAAGTGATAATTTCCATAAGTCCATAATTTTCTTCAAAGGAATTTTGGCACTTCAGAACGCGATTGACAAGTAGGAGGGAAACAAAAGTTGTGATCGGATTGTGGAACACCATTTAAATTCCGAGTCGTAATTGAATTCCGATTCCGATGCGATTCCGACTCGGTTTGCAGAACAGGGCTGATTATTTTCTTTTTATATAATGCCATGCAGATCCGCACAATTGGTCCGAGTATAGAAGATTCAATGTTAAAGGTAAATAAAATTTTACATGTGATTGCATTTGGACTACTTACAGTTACCTACACGCTACTTTGTAGTGTGATCTAAATCTATTTCGAGATCCTACAGAGTTGATATCATGTCGAAGATCAAGATCTAAAAATGGGAGAGTATCACAACTTAAAAGCAAGTTATTGATCGTGTAACGTCCGTGTTAGGAAAAAATCGGTTTTTAGAGAACCCTGCAAACCAGGTAACCGCTCTGGATGCACAGATCTACTACATACGTTTATTGTTTTATATTGTGCTAAAATTGTATCTATGAAAGCAGGATTTTAAGAATAGTAAACATATTTTGTCACATAATTCGTACTTCTTTTTTAATTTGGGCCGTATATTTATTTCGTGGCTTCGAGCTGCAGCTGTAGTATTAATAATAACAGTGTTTTCGTGCGGTTGATAAGTATTCATTGTTTCGAGAAAAGAGCAAGCTTTTCTCCCAAAATTACGCGTTCTAGTTGAAAATCATCGGTCTTTGACATAACCTACTTTACAAATTTAAGAAAATGTCTGACCTATAGCTTTAACTGTCATTTCTTATATAAAATTTGCCCCTGAATACGAATATGAAATGAAATGTCAAGAAAGTAGATCAGTTTTCAAGATATAGCTAAATTTCCGTTTTTCTCTTAACTGCCATTGTCTCGGAATGTAGTTAGTCAACTTCGAAGTTCTTTTTATGATACCGAAAGTAATTAAATATATCCTCATTTAAAGTACAAAACCGCGTATCAACAAAATGCAAAACCGCGTATGTGAGGTTGCTTAAATTATTTTCTAGAGAGTAAAAACACTAAAATTTCAAAATGGTTCTTTTTTTAAAGCAATCGCATTTCTGGCCGGTATATTTCAGGATGGATGGATAAGGATTGAGCCAACAGCTTGTGTGAGCGAGTCCAATTTTTAGCAGCAAATGTCAGTTACGTGGTTTTGCAGTATGGCGATACACGGTTCTGTACTTTAAACGACGATATGTACCATCAACTGTGTGCAACACTTCAGCCAAACAGGGTTTAGGAGCTATTAATGAATTTTTCAAGAAGTTTGCATAATTTTCAACAAAATTTCACGAAAACTCAGTGTTTCTGTAAATTACGTCTTAAAAAACATGTTTACTTCCGTTTTCTTTATTAGACGTCAAAGAATGATCTTTTAGGAAGAAACTAAACTATACGATCCAAATTGGATTGAAAATATAGAAGGCATAAGCACTTAAGTCAAAATTCAGAACATCCATTTTTTCCAATGTATCACCAAGTTTATAGAAATGAAAACATTGTCCCACCTGAGATATATTTATATGCCTTCTAATGTAAATTTTTCTGCTGAATGTGAATACGAAATGTAAGATAGTAGATAAGTTTTTAAGATATAGTCGAATTTCGGGTTTTTGAGGTTTGAAAAAAGTGCACTCACTAATTACAATTACATTTGGTAGATATATGTAGTTGTCCCACCACGACATTTTTATTTAAATTTTCCGCTGAAACCAAATACGAAATGAAAATGTAAGAGTAGAATATCAGGACATGGATCACGTATGACGACAATCGTCTAAACGATATCGTGTCGAAATTGTCTTGCTTCATTAAAACCAAAAATTGGTTGATCGTTTCTGCGATATCGTCAACTCGATTCTAGTTTTGCTTCACGTAACAGTAACAGTAACACGTAACAGCAGCACAAATGCATAAATTAGTGTTTTGACGGCGTAGTTTTGTCAGTATCGTTTGAACGACTATCGTTCCCAAGTTACGTGATTTATGCCTAGATATCATCTTCGGATTCAGGGGCAAATTTTACATAAGGAATGTCAGTCAAATGCCCCAGGTCAAAATCACTGTAAACTAGTGTAATTACTCCATTATAAAATAACTAAATAAGTTACAGAACATAGATACATTTAAAAAGTACAAGTTGTTGAATTGTATTGAAGTTTGGTCTTTTATGTTAAACTTCATTTATTAATCTAAAGAAGAAAAGTAGAAATGATTATCACTGTGAAAAATTTGCAGCAACAGACATTCACTATTCAATTCGACCGCGAAAAGACGGTAAGCATACAATGAAACGGCGCTAAGTGTTTGGGCGAGCTTCTTCATTTCGTTGTGTGCGCTTTGATGACCCACATACGAAAGGGGATTTACAGTTTTATTCCACCTCCCGACTGGCAAACTGCTCAGTTCACCTCTTTAAATGGCAAATTTTCCTAATTTTGGAAGGGTTCCCCTGTGGTCAGTGGAAGGGTTTGCAGGGATGTATGACTATCAATTTTGAACTGGGATATTCCAAGTTAGTGGGGTTTCTGGAGATACGCCGCGGATTCGATTCAATGAACGGTGACATATGAGGCATTCTTTTTCATATCGGACATCAAATTTTCTGTAACATTTTCCATTTTCTTTAAATTTTTTATGGGTTTTATACATTAAATAAGCTAACGTGTATTCAAGGAATTCTTATTTTGGCAAATGTTATTTCTACAAAGATCTTGCAGTTATATATTACATATATTTTTTTTATAAAACGTAGACTTGTCTAAAAGTGTGTGTAAATGTTTTTTGATTTGGGTCACGGGTTTGTACAAATAACTAAACGGTACCCCTTATTTATTTCTTCAAAGATATGATCTATCAGAATTTGGATTTTTCAAGAATCTAAAGAAAGGCTTAAGGCACTACTGCGATCATGATCGTCCTAAAGCTATAGTAGCTGTTAAGTGGCCGCTAAGTAGATGTTAGACGTGGCAAGTGCAACTCCTTTTCAAAAGTCTGTCAAACTCAAGAATTTCCAAAAGAGATTGCAGTAGCAGTTACATCTTGCAGGAAAAATGGCTTTCGAAAAAGCAGTTGTTATTTCTGAAAATCAAACTTTCCGATACTGATTTTTTACGCGGTGAATGCAGACAAGTCCATTTGCAACTATGTTACTAGGCTTCTTTATGCTTATAACAAAATAAATGGCCTGAAAAATTTACTAAACCTGCTAAATGTGCACAAAATAGTCACAAAATATCTAATACAGTAATACTTGAATACTCAATATCAGTAGAATAAATTAATTAAACGTATTTTTCATATTTTTAACCGACTTCACAAAAAGCAGGAAGGTTATCAATTCGTCGGAATATGTTTTTTATGTAACTTTGGACCACGTTAACCGATTTTTATAACTTTTTTTTTTTAAGCAAAGGTGTTACCCTACAGGTGGTCCCATTGTAAATTTGGTTTAAATCCGATCATTGGATATGAAGAAATTAATGATAATGCTAAATTTGAATATGAGAATTGAAGTCGGTTTTGTTTTTGAATAAAAATTACTTGTATTCAACATTTATATAACTATTAATATTCGTAAAAAACGCGTCACACGGCAACACTCGATTGGTTTGATAGAACTTGCAGCAAAAATGAAAATTAGGCTGACTTCCAAAACGTATCCATACAATGTTTGTATACTGTTATACTGCGGTATTCAAACTGTTTGGATATGCAGAGTTGCGGTTTATTGCAACCCTATACATTGGATATTTTAAATATTCAATACAGCAATAAACAATTTTTCTGAATTCTACATTTTTAAAAACCGATGGTAACCAATAACAAACGAAGCATCTTATTTGTTTCTGATGCTCTGATTGCTCTAGCGATGCGTTTCGATAACTTTTCGGATGCGTTTTGGAAACGTATACATTGTCAGTATTTTGTAGTACGGTGTTTTGGAACATTATACTTTATACGTATGCAAAGCAACTGACGTTATGGAAGTCTTATTTTTCGAAAGCGATTTGCGTAATTTCAGTTGCAGTGACACCTTGCAATTTTTATTTCTGAAAATTATTTCTGCAAATCTGCGTAAAGGACTTTGTGGCTTTTTACACGGGAAGCGAACCAATTCCGACGGTGAACAACCCGAACATCCTCGGAGTAACCTTCTTGTCTACAAGTACAAAGCCGCAACAAGGTCCTCCAGTCACTAGCCGGTAGCACCTAGGGCAAAGAAAAAGAAACGTTGCTGGAAACGTACAAGGCAATTGGCCGGCCGGTTCTGAACTATGCAGCGCCCGTGTGGTCGCCGGGGAATAGTAGGAGGCAGTGTGCGAAGCTGCAGACTTGCCAAAACAGTGCACTCAGGACAGCGACAGGATGCCTTTTAATGCCGCCGCAACATCACCTGCACGACGAGGCCCATGTGCTCCCCGTTAAGGAGCATAACAAGATGCTCTGCAAGCAGTTTCTAGTTGGGAGCCACAGACGTGGTAACCCAAACAGACCACTGCTTGCAGAAGAGCCCACGCCCAGGCACGTCAGGAGGCATCTCTACGAACTGACGGACGAAGTCCAGAGGTTCATCAGACAACCTCAACACGTGGCAAGTGCAAGTCCTTTTCAAAAGTCTGTCAAATTCAAGAATTTCCAAAAGAGATTGCAGGAGCAGTTAAGAGCCTGTCGGACTTGGCAATGCGTATATTTCGAAAAGCCTGTCAAATTGAGAAATTTCAGAAAGCAATTGTATGAGCAGTCACATCTTGCATGTAAAGTATCTTTCGAAAGAGGATTTTTATTTCCCAAAGGCGAATTGCAGATTGCTAGTGCCGCACGAGCAAGTCAAAATATATTTCCGAAATCGAATTGCGCTCTCTCAATTGCAGTCACTACTATTATTTCTGAAACTGATTTTCGAAATGTGACGGAAGGGTCTTTCTGGCTGTTCAAACGTCGAAATAAAATTTCTCTTTCTCAATTTGACAACGAATGCGTGGAAAAGTTGGAAATATATCCATGTCTGACACGCTCTTTATACTTTGCATGTAAAGTGGCTTTCGAAAGCGGTTTTTATCTCTGAAAATAAATTTTTTCAATACTACTTTTTGTCCGCTTACACTGTGAATACAGACAAGTCCACTCTCAATTATGTTACCAGACATTTTTATGCTATAACAAAATAAATGACCTGACAAATTTACTAAACCTGCAAATCTGCAAAAAAGACTTTCTGGCAAACTCAAGAATTTCCAAAAGAGATTGCAGGAGCTTGTCAGACGTGGCAACGTAATATATTTCAGACAAGTCCATTTTCAATTACATATGTTACCATTAAATTTCAAATGTTTAATCTTAATCCTTATAACATTTTTGGGAATGCAGTTTTATGAAGTGCAAGTTTCAAACCCCTAAAAATCCCGTTGATTTTTTTGATTTTTTTTTGTGATGGATTTTTGCCCCTTTTTCAATATAATCAAGAATTTCTTTTAATTTAATAGAGACTTTTAGTTGGTGGCATGAAGTTTTTTGCCTAAGAAGACCCCTATTAGAATTTTCGAAAGGATAATTTTCTAGAATATATCAATCCTCTTACCACCTTCCTAATTTGTCTTTTGTGGGGTTTCTTGAAGTAAGGGTCAAAACGATCCTTTCAGGCGGGTGCTAATGGGGTTTAAATGTTCTACGAAAATATTTCTCATGAATTTTTCCTATATATGTCTTAACCTTTAATTTCGCTCAGGCATTTATTTTATCCGTTTTTTCGACTTTTTTGAAAACTACGCCGAGGCTTCATGCCTTTATGAGATTGAAAATGAAAAGCGTGGGGCGCATGCATATATGTAATACTCCTATATTGGCAGTAAGAGCTAGTACCGTCCGAAAACAATACAGTACAAATATATCAATAAAACCGTACAAAAGAAAAGGAACACGTACGTTTGTAAATAAACATATACACAACACATACACAAAAACGGCACTCCCGTACACAATACATACCAGGAATGTTTCCTAGGGATGAAATGCACAGAGTAGTGGTCTTTGAAAGAAACTTCAAAGTCGATCTATACAGAAAGGCGACTTGGAGCACGCCTATCTTGGAGGGACACGTCCAGGCGAGCACTTTACAGTGGTACACGGACGGCTCCAAAACGCCTGAGGGTATTGGAGCAGGAGTATATGGCCCTAGGCTGAAACTCTCAGTCCCTTTGGGGACTTTCCCCAGCATCTTCCAAGCGAAGTCTATGCAATCAGTCTTTGCGCAGAGATTAACCTTCGCAGGAATTATCGAAGGGAGAGGATACTTATACTAAGCGATAGTCAGGCGGCACTCATAGCTCTCTCATCCTTCGAGGTCAAATCCTCTTTAGTCTTGGAGTGCATCGAGAAGCTTAATGCCCTTGCTGTGCACAACACCGTCCGGCTAATATGGGTACCAGGTCATATGGGTGTCAAGGGTAACGAAGTAGCCGATCAGCTGGCCAGGCGGGCGGCTGCCTCGACGCCGGTAGGACCTGAGCCCTTCCTTGCGGTGGGTCCCAGTACGATAAAAGAGGCACTCTGGAAGGAAAACAGCGAACTGAGGGAACAGCATTGGCAAAGTATCTCGGGACTTCGTCAAGCCAAGAGCCTATTAGGGGGGTATAACCCAAAGAGATACAGGCTACTTATAAACCTCCCCAAGGCGAGGCTAAGAATCATAACAGGTATTTTGACGGGTCATTGTAGGCTCAGAGGCCACTTGTTTAATCTGGGAATCTGGTCAAGCGACTTATGTCGCTTCTGTGACTCCGCCAAAGAGACACCAATGCACCTTCTCCTGGAGTGTGAGGCCGTTTCGCGAAGAAGGGAGAGGTGCCTAGGACACATATGGCCAAGTGAAGATCACATACACTCCCTGCCCCCGGGATCCATTCTGAAGTTCTTGGAGTCCCTGGGTCTGGATTCAGTGTTGTGATTAGCTCGGGGCACAATAGACCTATTGGTCGCAGTGCTTACCCTACTATTATTCTATTATGCGAATGATTCGCATCATTTTACACATTCGCATTCGACATTCGCATTCGCATCAAATGATACGAATGTTTTGCGAATGCGAATGTGTAGTCCACACTAACGTTGTTGAAATGGCCCTAAGTCTGTCTAACCAAGGTGCGGGCAATAACCGGCTTTTAGCTTCAGGCGCTAAACGGTTAAGTAGTATATAAAGCAACATTGATGGGCCTTTAACAAGTACTGCTAAATATAAGTAAAATAATTTTAGATTCCTCCAGCGAAAGCAAAGGCTC